TAAAAGAATGAAAAATATATAAAAAACTAAAACTATTCAAAAGAAAACTATGTTGAGTATAATGAGATAAAGTAGATTTCTAAGCTAACAATACTGCCAGAGATTAAATTTAGTTCACAAGAGAATGTTAACAATCCTAAATATCTACATACCTCATAATACAATTTCATGTTATTATAAAACAAAGACAGACCTTAAAGAAAAATAACAAATCCATAATTACAGTTGGAAGTTCTAATACTATTCTCTCAATACTTGACATAACAAACAGAAAATCAGCAAAGATATAGTAAACTTTAACAACACTATCAACCAACTTGAATCAACTATTTACACAACACTTCAGCAAACTTCTCAAATGCACATAAAACATTTACCAAGATAGACCATATTCAGGGCCAAAAAACAAGTAACATATCTGAAGGGATGTTGCTAAAGCAAGATTTGAAGAGATACATATAGCACTAAACAGCTATATTAGAGAGCAAAGATCAGTCAAACACTTCAAGGTCACAAAACACTGCTCTTAACAGGTCAAAGACATTTCAAGACAGCCATAGACCAATTTCTTTCACCAACAGGAACACAAAAGTTTTCAACAAAATTTTAGCAAGTCAAATCTGATATTTTATAAAGACACTAATATTTATAAAGATAGCAATATTTTATAATGACCAAGTGGGGTTTATCCTTGGAATGTAAAGTTAGTTTAACACTCAAAAATCAATGTCATTTACCACATTATCAGCCTAACAAAATAAAATCATATTATCATATGTCATTCACAAATAATAATTAAGAAATACACTGTTTATGGGTTAGAAGACAATATCGTTAAAGATTCAATGCAATCACAAACAAAATTTCAACAGACATTGTCTAAAAATTATTAAGTGGACTGTAAAATTGACACGAGAATGTCAAGAACCAAAATACAGCCAAAACAAAAGAACAAAATTAGAAGATTAAGTCTACCTGATTTCAAGACTTTTACATAAAAATATAGTCTAGAAACAAACTCATACATCTATGGACAACTGATATTTGACAAAAATACAAAGTAGGGAAAGGATAGACATTTTAACAAATGATACAGGAACAATCAAATGTACACATTCAAAAATGAACTTCAAGGGGCTGGAGATTTAGCTCAGTGGTGCCATGCCTGCTTTATAAGCGCAAGGTCCTGAGTTTGATCTCAGTACTGCAAAAAAAAAAAAAAAGAACTTCAACCTATACTTTTGCACCATATACAAAATTAACTTAAAATAGATCAAAAAGCTAAATGTAAAACTGAAAACTATAAAACTTCTTAGGCTGAGTGAGTGTGGTGGTAGACAACTATAGTTACAGCTACTTGGGAGGCTGAGACAAGATTACGTTAGCCTTGAAATTTCAAGACAGACTAGGCAATACAGCAAGACTGCCACCTCAACAAACAAACAAAATAAACTTCTGGGGTTTTTTTGGGGGGTTGGTTTTTTTTTGTTGGTTTGTTTTTTGTGGTACTGGGCATTAAACTCAGGGCCTTTCAAACTAAGCATCATTACCAGCCCTATCTACCTATTTTTATTTTGAGACAGTGTCATACTATGTCACTAAATAGCTCAGGCTGGGCTCCAACCTGCAATCCTCCTGCCTCAGCCTCCCAGAGTGCTAGAACTAGAAGCAGTCCCACCACATCTAGCTCAAAAGACACTTTTAAGAGAATAAGCCAACCAAATGGGAAATCAAGTCTTGGAAATTACTTGATAAAGGATTTGTACCCCAAATACATAAAGAATGTTCAAAACAAAATAAGCAAACAATCTAGCTTTTAAAAATCACTGAAACAGCTAAAACTTGGAAACACTCCAAATGCCCATCAACTGGAGACTGGATAAAGAAAAAAAATTTTTTAATATATATAAATGAAGTACTACTCAGCCATAAAGAATGAGAAATTTGAGACATTTATAGCTAAATGGATGCACACTGAGGCCATACGCTTAATGAAATAAAAAGGTCACATATGTGTAAATACTGAAAAGTGTCTCAGGTGTGAGAAACTGAAAGTGTAAATAAGGATCAAAATGTATAATAGATAATGTGAAATAGAAGAAAAGGTCCAAGGGGAAGGGAAAGTGAGAAGGGGAGGGAAAAGGAAAGAAGGGAAAGGAATAAATATGAGAAATGGAAAACAATGGAAACAAAGTCTCTGTAAATAGGAAGGAATGGAGGGGTTGAATGAAGGGCAGGGGAATGAAAAAAAATTAGAACCAAGATATATCATGTAAAGGTACAAATTTCCAATAATGAATGTCACCATATTATATACCTAAAATGTATCAATAAAAATAAGGAAAAAAATCAGTGATGATATACAAGTAGCAAATAAACACATAACAAGATGCTCAACACTATTAAGGAAATACCAATAAAAAGTACTTATCAGTACCTATTAGTATGGCAAAAATTAAAATGAGTGACCATACCAAGTGTTGGCAAGGACAAAGAGGAACCAGAAACTATATACTTCTGATGTGAATGTGCAAAAATACAAGCCCTTTGGAAAGTTTGGCAGTGAAACATAACGCCTACCATACAACAGAGCCTTTCCATTCCTAGGTATCTGCCCAAAAGATATAAAAGTATCCAGTAATGCAAAGGCTTATACAAAAATGATTATACCATTTCACATCCAACAACTTAGGGGATCAACAGTATATGCCCATTTGACAGAATACTAACACACAATAACAAAGTAATAAATTACTAATACATATTACTGCTACTAAGACAACTCTCAAAATAATTATGCTAAGTGCAATAATTCATACAAAAAGTACATACTGAATGATTCTATTTCCCTAAAATTCTTGAAAACAATCTACAGTGGCTGGGTGGAGTCAGGGAGGGAGAAGGGGATGACGTAGATGTTCATTTTCTTGATTACAGTGAGTTTCATAGGCATATATGTCAAAATTTATCAAATTATATAAGTATATGTAATTGAAGCTGGGCATGGTTTCAAGCATACCTGTAATTCCAACACTCTGGGAGGCTGAGACGGGAGGATTCCAAATTTGAGCCCAGCTTGGGCAACTTAGCAAGACTGTTTCAAAATAAAAAATTAAAAAAGATTGGGGATATAACTCAATACAAAGACCCTGAGTTCAATCGCCAGTACCACACAAACACCAAAAAAAGGTATGTAGTTGATATGTCAATTATACATCAAAAAAGCTTATAAAAAATGATACTTGATTTTACACTTAAAGCTGACAGCACTCGTTATGGCTTCTGTCTAGATGTCCCTGCAAATCCTCATCTGGTCATAGGTGGGGCTTTTTCAGAGGTGGCTGGATCTAGAATGTGTGATGTTGAGATTAAGGGTGTGTGATTACTAAATTAGTCCACTGATTGGTTTAGCATAGTTCTGTGTGTGCATAATGGGAAGGCCCACCCTGGATGTAAGTGCTACCTACTTGCCCTAAGGGTTTTGCCCAGATAGAATATAAGGGATAGTAAGCTGCCATGGTTTGCTGCTTGATGCTTTGCTTCTTCACTACTAAACTGCCTTCCACTCATCATGAATTATTTTCCTTTTTGATGCCCCTCTGCCATGCTACCCTGCTTTGAAGCCAGCCAAATATGAACTGAAACCTCTACAAACTCTGAGCTAAATGTACCTTTCCTCCTTTAACTTTGGGTGTTGGGTATTTTGTATCAGCAACAAGAAAAAGTAACTGCAATAGCATTACACACTTGTGTTATGGTTTAGATCAAGAATATCCTCCAGTGGAGTGTGGGTGGCATACGCCTGTAATCCCAGGATCAGGAGGCTGAGGCAGAAGGATCACTGAGAGTTCAAGGCTAGCCTGGGTGACAGAGTGAGTTCAAGTCCAGCTTGAACTACAAAGCAAGACTCTGTCTCAAAAAAGCAAAAAAAAAAAAAAAATTTTTTTTTAAAGAAAGTCCTCCAAAGGCCTCGGGCACTATAGTGGGGCTTTGGGAGGTGACTGAACAGTTGACTTGTTATTGGGAGGAGAGCCCTGGCCAGATGAGGCAGGTCACTGAGGGCATGAAAGGATACATCTCTCTCTCAAGCTTCTCCCTTCTTTCTCCCTGTTTTCTGATCACCCACATGAGCAGTTTTCCTCCAAATGCCACTCTGCCATGCCATTCTGCCTTGGAGCCAGTGAACTACAGATTAAAATGTAGTTTAAGTCAAAATAAACCTCTCCTTCAAGCTATCGGTGTTGGTTATTGTGTCTCAGTGACAAGAAAAGTGACTACGATACCTTGGCTAAGCACAAAAGGTTACTCTTGTATTTTTTTCTGGATGAGTCCCAAAGAGCTTTTAATAATACAAAAAATCGAAAGTACACATTCCTAGCAGAATAAACAACCATTCCACCTCATGCTCACTATGAGAAAGGGATATACTGTATTGCCTTCCATAGATATTTATGAAAAGATTTTTCTCTCTAACCCACAAAGCAGAAATCTGTATTAGGTTAAATTATTTTACACTTAAACCAAAAGAGACGATATAGTGAATGGTATGTAAATATATATGTGTATATATATGAGTTTCATGGTGTTGCCTCTGCCTCCCAAGTAGCTGGTACTACTGATATGTGGCCCCCATACCCTACTAATTCAAAGAATTTAAAATAGAAATGGTGAGGCTGGGGATGTAGCTCAATAGTAGAGCTCTTACCTAGCATGTGCTAAGCTAACTCCCCAGTGTTATCCAAAAAAATTTTTTTACAGAATTCAGGAAGGATTTAGGGAATGTTATATTAAGAAATCTCTAAAGCCATGTTTATTAAAAGAAAAATTTAGTCTGTTTGAAGCCCAATCCATTGGCTACAAAAACATTTGAATACTTTTTAGGTTTAGTAAATGAGCCAAAAACTAGAAAATAAACATTCTCAATGAGTATATATTTTAAATCTTCACTATACTGGGTTTGTATGATAATTAGGAAAAGAAATGCCATGCAACTTACTCACCTGTTTTGTTCCTCCAGTTTAGCCAGGAGTTCTAAATCGTCAGGACTTAAATGTGATGGGGAAGATGGCGAAAGGGCTGGTGTTGACAATGTGGTAGATGAGGAAGTAGTGTGTAAAGAAGCAGATGGACTTGCCACCTGACTGGCCATCTGACTGACTGTATGGGATACTGTGCTCTTCACCCATGAGAGAGTAGAACTCAGCTTCTCTGCAACCTTGTCTGTCGCCACCTAAGGATGAAAATAAATGTAGCATATATTTTAGTTGGTGCATTTATTAACAAGAACTTGATAATCCCATTATGTCTTATTTAATAATTGTCATCAGAATGTTGTCTTTGAGATGATAAATGTAAAACCTATTTAGCAATCATCACCCTAACATCCAGGTTTTGGAAACTGGTATTATTTCAAACTACAATATTTCCAGCCTGAACAAACCAGAATAGGGTTTCCCAAACTGCAGGCTGAACCCCATCAGGTAGGTAATAATAGAACCACTTTCACAGGGAATACCAGCAGATTTTAAAAATGAAAAACAGCAGAAAATACCAAAGTAAGAATAAATGCTCATAAAATCTTTGTTTTCATTACATATGTATACATTAAAAATACAGACTACAAGGCTGGTCATGTAGCACATGCCTGTAATCCAGCACTTGGGAAGCTGAGGTAGAAGGATAGCCAAGAGTTCAAGGCCAACCCGGGCTACACAGTAAGTTCAAGTCCTGTCTGAACTATATAGTAAGACCTTGCCTCAAAAGAAACAACATGCTTGCATGTGTGTGTACACTTATTGAGTCAGGCTATGAAGTATAGTCTTTATTAGGGTTTTAGTCAAAAACATCTGAAAGCCAAGGAATTAAAAAATGTCTATTAGATAATCAGAACAGGGAAATCTTATGACATGACCAGCAACTCAATAAAAACTGGGTGTTTAACATAAACAAGATGTAATGAGACCATTATTAATTTCCCTCAAATCACTGAAGAATATTCTCACAGAACAGGGACCAGATCCATAAGAAAAAAGTGTGATAAGTGGTAAAGTTAATACAGTGAGAGGTCCAAGGCAGAATTTTCAAGTAGCTGGAGCTATTCAGAAGTAGAATGAGATGCCCAGAAGTAATAATAATATTCCCAACCATAACAGGAATTAGTGAGACGAGAGTTAGGATTTTTTTTTATTAATTGAGTTTATTGGTAACTTTTTAGGTATACAGTAGTTACATTCATCATTGGGATCTTGTAACTTTACATGACAGGTCTTGGTTCTCATTTTTTTCCCCTAGATCCCAAAACAGAGTGAAGAAGGCCAAAACAGTCTGGTGAGTCACAACCCTGCCAGGATCTTACAAAAACATCAGCCTTAAAAAACAACTGTCCTTTAGCTATCTGGGACCTCCCCAGAGCATGATCAGGCAGGAGGACATTGCCTCAAGGGCACACAGCCCTCCATAGACAATGCATAAATACTACGTAGATAAGATTTAAAAAAAAAAAAAAAAAAAAAAAAAAAAAGTACTCTGCTATAGGGTTGAGATTGCTTAGGCTACAGCCCAAACTCCCTCTAAATCCCTTAAAAAAAAAAAAACCTAGACAAAGAGCCCTCATGGGTATCCTACTTAGAATTCCCTCCTGGCTAGCAGGAGCTTCACTTCCTTGCTTTTATATCTTTTATACTTTCTTGTCTTTACATCTTTTAAATGAATTTGCTTGCATCCCACCTCCTCCATCCCCAGTTTCATTCTTTAACACGTGGGCCAGAACCCTGGTGATTCGGTAATACTATCAATAACTAAAGTAGCAATTACTCTGTAAGAGCTAAATGTCATGAATTGGTTAAGGATGAGTTTCTATTTTACATCAATAACCAAGACCACACTGTAAAATTCTTCTCTTTAAGTCAATGAATTATACATGTCTCCGTAGTTGTTATAAACCATGCCAATGTTGTAATCAGATATATATACAACTAATTCACTAAAAAAGTACATAAACAATAGTCAAACAGGCATTATTACTTTCATATTTGAATATCTATGTGATGCTAAACATCCTCAACAATAAAAGATTACCTTGTAGAAGGTAAGGTATAATGTTTTTGTGTAGGTGGACATGGTGGTACATGCCTTTAATTTCAGCCCTTTGGAAGCTGAGGTAGGAGGATTACTGAAAGTTTGAGGCCAGCCTAGGCTATATAGTAAGTTCAAGGCTAGCCTGGACTACATCAAGAGAAAAAAAAAGTTTTTTTGTGGGATTGTACTTTTAAAAATTATTTTAAAAAGCTTCTTAGTTCGATCCAGAGTACCACCAAAAAAAAAAAAAAAAAGCTTCTTGAGCTAGGGACAGAAAGCTGAGGCAGGAAGAGGACAAATTTGAGCCTATCCTAGGCAATTTAGCAAGACCCTGCCTCAAAATAAAAAATAAAAAGGGGAAGGGGTGTAGCTCAGTGATAGAGTGGTCCTAGGTTCAATCCCAAGTACAAAAAAAAAAACAAAAAAAAAACCAAACTTACATTAACATGCACAAATCCCCCCCAGATTTAGCTATCTCCACTTCCTCCATCTTAATCTAGCAAGAAATTTCTATATAAGAAAATATAAAACAGAAAAGGGAACCTAGGACACAGTTAAGCTACTCAACCTGAGGATGGAACTTCTGAGAAGACAGATTCAATTATAAGTGCTGGACGGGGCAAGAGTTTTATTAACCTGAAACTATCACTCATTTGCATTTTTCCCTGTTCAAAATTTATTGGCCAGGCTTGGTGGGACATGCGGGTAATCCCAGCACTCAAGAGGCTAAGGCAGGAAGATTTTGAGTTCCAGGCCAATCTTGGCTACATAGTAAGTTCAAGGCCAACCTGAACTACATGGCCAAACCCTGTCTCAAAAAAAGAACGTATTTATCTTGGGAACAGTTTTATAGAAAGAATCTACTGGCTGCTGAGGGGAAACCCCCAACAAAGACAAAGGGGGCAGAGTTTTATTAACTTGAGACTATCACTCATTTGCATTTTTCCCTGTTTAGAATTTATTGTCCAGGCTTGGTAGGACATGCCAGTAAATCTCAGCACTCAAGAGGCTGAGGCAGGAAGATTATGAGTTCCAGGCCAACCTTGGCTACATAATGAATTTAGGCCAACCTGAACTACATAGCTAAACCCTGTCTCAAAAAAAGAACTTATTTATCTTGGGAACAGTTTTGTAGAAAGAATCTAGTGACTGGTTGTTGAGGGGAAACCCCCAACAAAGACAAGCAGGATGAAGTATGGGACCAAAAGGAAAGAGACACAAGGCAGATTATTATTCCTGCTTCCAGGAAAAAGAAGTCCTTCTTGGCAACTCAAATATCAGCACATCTCATCAGAGCAAAACAGTCAAACAGAAATCAAAGAATAATTAAGCTGAAACTGTCTTTGTGGCAGAAAATGGTAAGAAGCCACGGCAAACAAGACAGTGTGATTTGTCAGCCTACCGAATTTCTCTAAAGAAACACTAAAAATTCAATCATGAAAATGGCATGAATTTGCATCCCAAAAGCATACTACAATAAAGTAAAAAAAACCCTAAAATTATAGAAAAATGGCAGACTTGACTAATACCAACCATCAATTTCAAATATACTCACAATTTCCAAGTGTAGTGATACTTTGCATCATATAAGTCCCTACTAAAGTCATTTGCTGCAAAGCCAAAACTACCTATTTGTTGCTCATATTAAAACAAACTAATTTATCATACCCCTTCTTCTCCCTTATAGCAACAGGTTTATATTTAGAGTTTGGAATAACCAAAAGCACAATTATGACATACTTTCTGTTTCAGTGAAATGAGATTCAGCCTAAATACTAAAGTCTCAATAACTCATCCTCAATTTTTAAATTCATAAATATAGTTAAAATATTAAATTACAGTTGCAATTCAATAAAGTTTACTATTTACAGTTCTAAAAGAAAACCTATAAGACTGAATTATTTTTCACTTATTACACCCTGTTTTGTTTTGGGTTTTGGGGTTTTTTTTTCTTTAACCAATTTATTTTTAAGGACAGTGCTCCAAAGGCAAATTCCTGATCCTTAAAATATAGCTACGTATGATACATTTCCAAGTACTCTTCCTAGAGTAGGTGTAATGGAATAATTGCATTCCATTTATTTTCATACATCTTTTTCCCATGGTGAATTTTAGAGGGACCATCTTTAAGCCAATATAAATATTTCATAAATATTTCATAAATATTTGGCCATTTTCTAACCAGTTGGGTATACATCTGTTGCATAATAAATCACTTCACATCTTTCAGCAAGTAAAACGCTTAAGAGTAAAGACTGACACAATTAATGGGGTACAAAATGAGAACATGTTCTAAGTATTTATTTTTGTGGGGTGAGGGCACTATATTCCTACTCAATTAAGAAAACCATCCCGACCATTCAGAGGACCCTTTTTCATTTTTTAAGTGGTAATGGTATTAAACTCAGGGCTTAGAACACTAGCTGAGAGCTAGGTAGTGAGCAGCTGAGCTTACACACCCAGTTCATGCAATGAATTCATAAGGAATAGGTTCCAGCAGCTCATGCTCCTTCCCCATTTTTCTCAAAGTGTACTTCACTCAGCAAGGCACTTCAGTTTAACCCAGATACATTTTGCTTCTTTACCTCCTTCTTTTTCTGATCATTTTCCTTCATGCTTTTCAAGAAGATATCACGGCAGTTAATATGCTTAATACATGCATTAATTCTCTTAGCAAGAATCTTGTCCTTAACTCACTCATTTACAACAATGCCAACAGCATGCCGGGTAATACCAGAGGCTCCTCCACTTTTGCCATGGTAACATTTGCATGGCATTCCTTTTTTAACAGTGCCCATTCCCCTGATGTTTACAATATCATGCTTTATACAGATTCACATATATGTGGCTAAACTTAATGTTTTCTAAAAGGCCTAGAGAACAAATATTGGGTTCCTCTCATTTTCCCCTTTGTATTGGTCATTTCAGCAAATTATGAGATGAAAATTCCAGCCAAAAGAAAGCTCATCATATCCTGTTTTTCCTTTAACTCTATTTTTCCAAACTTCACCCTACTGCCTACCAACTTCCTTCCTCATACTATGAGTAAACTGAGGTCATGGAGGCATAATAAATCTGAAAATCTGGTAGTCCAACTATGTCACAAAGTTCCTGTTTACCTCATAGAGGTGTCAGGAATTTTTAAAAGTAAAC